CGCCCATAGTTGAGGTTCGGAGAAAATTGAACCCCTAGCAACTGAAGGCGGTCAGCGTACTCCAAGGGTACATTGTAGAAAGTAGAAGCCAGGGTGAGCGGGCTCCTTTTAGTTTTGTAGGCGTTGAATCTGACGAGATTGGTATCGCCCCATTCTGAGCCTGCCTGTATTGTGAGATTCACATGCTCAATCATGTCCTCTATTTAGGACTGGATTTAATTCCTATTGCTACTAGTAGGAGCACTTGGTTGGTATCTCTCCACAACTGTGTCTATGAATACCCAGATCGTAGAGAAAGTGGGACGAAACGCTTACAGCATATGTCGTTGCGGAAGTAAACACAGACTCCAGCGCGCTGATAGAAATTACGAATTTTTTGTGATTGAGGAATTCTTAGCGTGTCTCCACTTTCGTGTTGTCTACATAATATGTATTCAAAACTAGTGGTTTGATTCTTCGTTTGTAATGCGTGATAGTTGAGTGCTCCATGCTTTATTCTTGCCTTCCCTTTATATTCAAAAGTGCAAGAGACTAGTTTTTTAAGTTAAGCCAGTGTTCTTTGCCATCTAAGGCTACATTAACATTAGTTATATCTGTTTTCTGGTATTCCACATTACTACATAATCAGCCAAACAATCACCATCTGGGACCACATGATCAGCAGTCGTGCTTACTACAACAAGACCAACACGGCGGTTTAATGCCTTTGTGTCTATGCAGTAGACAATAGCTGGCTTTTAAAAGGTAAAAAAAAAACATTCGTCCACTCTCGCATTGTCATCTACTATGGGACTACTGTTGTTTATCCCATGCAGGTTTCGGGCCTCGGGGAGCGGCCCTCATTACCCGGGTAATCCTCACAGCCCATATCTATGGGCCGGTCTTGGGAGACGTACATGTACGACATTGTCGGTAATCTTCATTGGCGTATTGCGCGCCAAACATTCGTCGTAGCCCAAATACAGGCGTTGCCTTAAATTTCTTAGTTTCCGAACCATCAGTTTGGTCTCTTCAGACTGATGACAGGATGCCAATGAGAGGGCTTCGAATTTGTGCTCACACACTCGCCTGTAAAATGTGGTCATATTACGTGCATATGTGGAAAGGATTTAGACCAATAGAGGATAGACTACGTGTGTACAACAGTGTAGAATCATTGTTTAGAATCTTTAAATTATTCGTATGTGTGCTTCTATTATATTTAAACATAGACTGTGCTTTGCAGGGAGATAAGTGTAGATGAAATAACGAAAACAAAGAAAAGCATGAAAGCAGGTAAGGCAGCTGGACATAATAGTGTCACTCGAGATGCTAAGAGCTGAAGAGGGAGTGGTGGCAGGCTTGCTGTACATCTTGTTTCATTTATGTTAAGAATTAAAGCGGTTACTGGACTGGTGACTGGTGTATAGCAGTTATAGTCCCAATCTATAGAGGAAACACACACACACAGCAGGACTAAAAACTACCGTAGTATCAGCTTGTTTAGTGCTGTGGGTAAACTTTTTACGAGGTAGAGCCACGCTGTAGCTAAATTTATGGTTGTAGCACGAATGGGTCGGCTCGACCGGGGAAGGACCACGCTCTCACAGAATACCGGCGTAAAATAGCAACTCAATGCTGCTGTGTTTCGTATGGTGAGTGTAGAGATCCGGAGACCCTTTTTTACTGGAATAGAGGCATTCCATCTTAGTCCTCAAGGGTGACAACGCATCTGCGTTTTGATTCTTAATCGAGGATAAATGTAGATGTCTATGGGCCACAGCATCCACTTACCATCAGGTGGGCTGTGTGCTCGTTTGGCACCCTTATTCTATAAAAAACTATGCTAAGGTGTTAATTGAAAGAGTTATGAAACTGATGGAAAATTGGGATGGGATGGATAGGAATGGGATGTGTAAGCGGGATTTAGAATGGGAATGGGGTGTACAGATCAAGTCTTTTCCATGCGCATGTTTGCGTAGAAGTTTTTGGTCAAAAACCAGAAAATGTACGTTCATGGACTTTGAAAAGGCTTACGACAGAGTGGACAGGATTGTGTTATGGCAAACACTAAACTAATTTTCTCTTTATATGTACTCTAGTGCTTGTGACAGGATCAGGGCTACTCGGACTGGTTTGGCATCCAAAAAAGACAGGGCTTGTAGCTTCCCCGTGTCCGTTCAACCTATTTATGGACAATTGTTTGTACACTTTGAAACGTGAAGGATGTGTGTTAAGAATGGGCAAGTTAACTGTCAAATGCCTTTTGTACGCCGATGATCAAGGCATAGTACATAGTACATTAAAGAACTGGTCATTAAAAGAAAAGGGAATGAAGGTGAACGCAAGTGAGACGAAAGTGATGGTTTTTGAAAGAGAAGAAAGTAAAATGTTATGTGAAATAAGAATAGAAGGGGAGTTGATTGAGCAAGTGGATGAGTTCTTGTATTTAGGATGTGTATTTAGCAGGGACGGTAGATATTATATGGAAATAGAACGACGAGTGAATGCAAGAAATAGAGTGAATGGGGCTCTACACTATTATGAAGAGTCACAATGTGTCAAAAAGGCACGTGGTACATTACCATGTACCAGCATAGCATTACAAATTACCATTCGTAATGCTGTGTTAATCCCTACTTTAATGTACGGTAGTGAAAGTTGGGTGTGGCAGAAGAAGCACGAAAGTAGAATAAATGCTGTAGAAATACGGTCTTTAAGGAGTATGCTAGGGCTGAATCTGAATAACAGGGTGAGAAATTGCGTGATAAGAGAAAAATGTGGTGTGCAAGATGATGTTGTGACCAGGATTACGAAAGGAATGCTTCGGTGGTTTGGATATGTAGAAAAAATGAACGAGGAAAGAGTGACAAAGCAAATTTATATTGCAGATGTGAACGGTAAAGTCGGGAAAGGACGCTCTAGACGAAGGTATATCGACCAAATTGGCGATATTTTAAAAATTGGCCACGTTAGGAGCAACCGACGAGCGTGTATGCGTAAATATATTATGGATGTAAAGGAGGCGAGAGAGGTATGTCAGGATCGTGCCAAATGGAAATCTGTAGTCTCTGCCTACCCCACTGGGTGACAGGCGTGAGCGTTTATGTAATATTTGTATGTATCGTGCTAAAAAACAAATAATCCAGGAATGAATCCTGCTTGAAACATGAGTAGTAAAACTTATCTACATACCTACAAAACTTACTAAAAAGTTCATCTACCCCGAGAAACCAATTTCACAATATACAATTTATAAGAATAACTCACTAAAACTAAAGGATTAGTATTTTTAACATTTAAAGTGACTGATTTCGGATAGACTATTCCAGCATTACGACGAACTCAAACCTAGATAATTATGATAAAGCTCCAGTAGAATATGTTACAAGTCAGTGGGCTCGTCTGCTGAAGAATCACGATCGCACAGAATACCAGTGTAAAATAGTAGTATAGTTAATGCACCTGTGTTGAGTTACGAGAACTTAAGCTCTTTACTGGTAAGCGTTAACGAGGTTGTTAAAGGTGATAACTTTTTTTTTTAAAGTTATAAATTGGAGATTGTTGAATAATAATCAAAATATTTAATAGAATTTTTATTTTCACCCTTAAGTACATAATATATTATTTAAAACTTATTTCCGAGTCGATATATATGTTATTCATTGTGCAGGCAAGTATTTAACAGTTATCCTTGAACTCAGTCGATAAGAATATATAATCATCAGATACATACCGCGTTTAACGTTAATTTATCACAGTTATCAGGCTATCATACACATAACGACGGTATGCTCTCCAAATTGTTTAAATATTTCTAATCTTACATGCTAAATATATTTTACAAAATAATAGCAATATCAGAGTCAATATTACAGGGTAACGATGGGAAGCACAGAACAAATTGTTTAGATATTTATAATCCTACAGGCCAAATATAAGTATATAACAAAATAATAGAAACGAGAAACAGAACACTAATACCCTACAAGAAATCAGTATTATACAAAAAGTGCTAAGATATGTATTTGTTGATTATAAGATTTAAATTTTTTTAAAACGTTTTATAATAAGTATCTAATTGTATAATCGTTTGTTATATTGCAGATAGTTGATAGATGACGTGAGATAGTTGATAGCTGACGTGGGATAGTTGATAGTGTGATGATGTTGAAGTACCTATCTACCTATTATCATCTAAAATTCTAAAACAGTGAAAATAGTCTTAATTGGATTTGTTAATAATATCTTATATCTTATATAGCAACACTAAAATCACAAAAAAGACAAAATCACAGATATAATACTTATCAATAAATACTATTTTATGTCTACAATATTGTTAAGAATAAAAATAATTATTTTGTCTATAATTTTCACATCTTCGTTTATTTAAGAATGTTCAACTAATCAAACTGTCAGAAACATGTTAAATTTTAATAAGATTTGAGATTCCTTAGTTTAATTGATGTTGCGGATAGTGTGTATGTAATATATTATAAAGTTCAACAAATACTAAATGACAGTAATTTCCATACTTACATGCAAGTATTACCACCGAGTTGCCTATGTTACCCGACTACTCCTTGCGCTGCGGAGTGGTAAATATACAAGACAAGCGAGAGATGGTTGTCTTGTGTTACCATTTATAATAAGAACAATTCAATTCAAACAACATCTCATGTTCTCTGTGAATGTGATCAATGATCGGTGATTTTTCACTGCACACATGATTTATGATATAATAGAGTAGTGATAGTTGCATTGTAGGCACGGTTACTCACGTTACACGTTCACTCTAATTTTTCTAATATACGTTTTTAATATAATGAAAGTTTTTTTATTTAAATATTAGAATTTTGAAATGTACGTACATACTTAATGATACAGTAGAAGATATTTAGTTGCCTAGATTGTGTTTTGTTGACGTAATAGCAACTAACATTGCCTGCCTAGTTCTCACCCTTAACCAATAATATTAGAATTTAAGTAATTGTAATCTTATCGTATTGTTAAAGACATTATCTGTATTTTAAAAATTTGCTAATGTATGACATAAATTTGTTTGAAAATTCTGGAGTTAGGCGGTAACGTAACACGAAGTACGCGATCACCCTGTGAATCAAAATGAATACGAGCAAACCAAGGATTTGCATGTAATAAGTGTCAGTGGCCATTCCTACATCTCTTAGCAAGAGTTGAGGGTCGGAATATAGGCAGAAATCCTGGCTGCATTCCATCAGCGGTCTCTTTTGGTAGAGTGCAATAGACAGTCCAGCTAATCCGTAACGTAGGTAAGATAGGGACATTAAGGCTTTCATTCTGGTTTCTATGTAAGGTCCGAAACCCATACCGTAGCAACACAACACCAAAAGTGGAGCCGCTGTAGCTGGACCTATTATGGAGCCATTCTGAAAAAAAAAATCAATTGTCAAGTAAATAAAGTAAATAAATTGTCAAGTAGGAAGGAAAAATTCACCTACCATAGATTGATATAAAAAATCGGGTGTTCATGGACTGCAGGAGCCACTTACCATCTGGTGACTTGTGAGTTCGTTTCATACATACAGGTTTATGAATATAAATAAAACGAGAACATAATCAATGTAGTCGAAATCAATTAAATACGCATTATTAAGGATAACTCAAAAACTACTGGTCAGATCTTGATCAAATTTATATAGAACCACATGAGAAGCACCAGCTTTCAAATAAAAAGAATCATGAAATTCGGTTCGCCTAGAAGTAAGTTTTGAGGTAACACAAAAAATACAGTCGAATTGAGTACTTCCTCCGCTTTTAAGTTAGTTAAAAAATAGGACTTTAGGTCTGAGAGTCCAGAATTCTATCAAGAGAAGCCATAACATAAAAGAAGTTGAAGAGAAATTTTTAGCAAAATCTACTTTTGTGTAAACAATATTTTATACGGCACATGAAACGGAAACAGAAACTTTTTTATTCAATATAGATTATAAACAATACTTATTGAAAGTAAATTTTTTCATTTAGCACTGGTTTGCAAAAACACCTCTGTCCTGGGAAGAACCAGCAAGAAACCCAGCGGTACTATTTTTTTTTCAAGTATGACATGTAGAAAGTAATATAACTAATGCGAATTGTTTCTCCTCCTGATGAAAAATGCATTCTTGAAAATACTTATCCAATAACTTGTGTATTGACTACACAAGATATTATACTGATACGGCCCAAAATATTATGAAAAGTAAGTAAATATAAACTTAAGTAAAAATTAAGTGAGTAAAAATCTTACGGTAGCATCAAATGCGGATCCCACTACTAATCCGAGACCCTCTGAGCATATGCCGGTGAGAATTCCGTAAATTACAAACAATATGAATCGGTCCCATTCAAGTATCTGTCCTGACATCAAATATGTAATACCTAAGAACAGAATACCGAAGAGTAACTGAAAGCAAATGAAACAAAAATTATTAAAAAAACTTTATTGACATTTTGACTGACTGACATTTCATACTTAACAGCAAAGTCCCTTATGCTGTTAAGGGTAAAATGTTAGTCAGTCCACATTTACATTCATGTCACATGATAGATATATTCGAACCGCAGTCCCGGGGTAGTTCAAGGGACGCTACTTGCTGTGGTCGGTGTAGCTCTAGTTTACGTCTGGCGTAAACACAGAAATCGTAATAATAAGACAATATTATTACGATTTCTGTGGGCGTAAATGTAATGATTATACATAATTTTATTCATTAATTTATTAATTATGTACAGGCTATGGAAAGCCCACTGCTGAACAGCAACTGTGGTCCATGAGAAAGAACCCACGCCATAGTTGCTGAGAAAGGCCCACGGACCATAGTTGCTGCGCTAGGTAGGGTTGGCAACCGCAGTTTTTTATTATTTTCAGTTGTTAATGTGCTGCCCTTTACATTTTCCGTGTACCACCTTTCACGACTTTCCCAGGGTAGTGATATTATGGGGTAGTGAATTCTCTTTTTAATTTACAATTATAGCCTGCTTTGAAAACTGATTTTCTATTCAATGATAAAAAAATTTAGTTTACATAATATTATAGATTATAAAGAGTCAAAATAGAATTTTATAAAAATAAGTTAGTAAATAAAAAATACTTTGCGAAACGGCGAAATACGTTTACAAAAATGCTTCAACATGGGTCCACTAATTTTATTACTCCACCACCAGTCAAAAGGAAACAATTATTGTAACGAATATTAAATAACATAAGGGAAATAATAATAAGTGTAATTTTACATTATAGAAAAACATTATAGAACGAAAGACATTATAAATACAATTATAGACAAAAAGACAATTATACAGAAAACGACGTAGAAGAAGACCATGAGAGAATTTTTTAAATAAATTAAAAAAGAAAAAATGTTAAGTCGCGCTAGAGAATGGCGAACGATAATTATGATGGCAATTGACAAGACCGTTTAAATATTCATGAGCGACTACTATCTTTAGCTGATATATCTAAAAGTATCGTTTTTAATTAGCATAGAAAAAGAGAAAAAGGAAAACCTTCTGGTTAAATTTGGAACAAAAATAACGAAACATATTATTTTATGGTACCTATCATGTTAAAACTATTTATGTTTTCTTATTGCACTTTAAGTGTTTGCCTAGATAAAAAGATTTTGTAGTTTATTTTATCATAATCAAGAGTGTTTATAATTATGTTTACAACTGTTACCCAGAGGGGTAGGCAGAGACTATGGACTTCCGTTTGGCACGATCCTGACACACCCCTTACGCCTCCTTTACAACCTAACTTTTAATCTGGCCCATCTTCAATATATCGCCAATTTGGCTAATAAACTTTAATATAGGGAGTCTCTTGCGGACTCTGCCACAGTGGAACATTTACAGCTTTGTTACTTTTTCCCCGTTCATTATTTCTACATAACTAAGCCACCGAAGCATTACTTTCTCAATCGTGGTTACATCATCTTGCAAACCACACTTTTCTTATCACACAATTTCGCACCCTGTCATTCCGATTCAGCATTTAATAAAACTAGATTATGTTAAATACTGTAACCAATATTATATCTACATAATAAAATGTAAAAAAATAATATATTTACCATAACGGGAAGGGATGAAAATGTTAGCGCCGCGTAGTATGCTTTCAGACCGTACCAGCGGTTAAAGTATTCGCGTCGTAAAATACGAACCTCCATAGGAACTGTAAATAAACAATTTAAAATCGTTTCGTAACGTGGGTACACCATTTTGACCCGGAGACGCAAACGCAAAGCTATTCAAGATGCGCCCGCTGGAGTTCCACAAGGCTGCGTGCTATCACCTACGCTGTTTCTTCAGCATATTGTGACGGCCCAATATTATTATTAATAATTAAATTCAATATAAAGGGGCGTCAAAAATAGTCTTAAAAGATATATATTAAACAATAAAATTACATTAATAACCATAAAGTTAATATAAATACATTTCAGACATTAGACCAATAACATAGTAAATTAAAGGCAAAACATTGTCTTCCATAATAAATAAATTTATTAAAAACTTGAAAAAATATTTAAAATAAGATAAATAATAGAAATACAAGTCGAAAATATTATAAAAATAAAGATAAATAACATTTATAAGATAATTAGAAAATTTGTTAAAAATTGTCTAAGTCTTGGAAGGAGTTCATGTATAAAAGAAATTTCCTAAGTTATGGAAAGAGTTCACGTATAAAAGAAAATTTTCCTAAGTTATGGAAGGTGTTCATGTATAGATGTCTTGTATGGAGGAGCTGTCGGAGATACATACCTGCAGTTGTACATATATATGGGGTGGTCGGGAGCCCGACTGCCTGAAGTACTGTAGCACAATGACTAGTCCTATATTAGGGACTTATGATATTAAACTCACATGATACAAAAGCAATACTATAGAAGGTCCCCATGATGAATATGCATTACAATAGTGGGGTCGTGGGTTGAAGTCTTATATAATACTGACTTATGAAAGTAAGGTCTATGATACAAAAGCAATACTATAGAAGGTCTCCATGATGAATTTGCATTACAATAGTGGGGTCGTGGGTTCGAACCCTATATATTAATGACTTATGAAAGTAAGGTCTGTGATACAAAAGCAATACTATAGAAGGTCTCTATGATTAATATGCATTACAATAGTAGGGTCGTGGGTTCGAACCCTATATATTAATGACTTATGAAAGTAAGGTCTATGATACAAAAGCAATACTATTGAAGGTCTCCATGATAAATAGGCATTACAATAGTAGGGTTGTGGGTTCGAACCCTATATATGAATGACTTATGAAAGTAAGGTCTATGATACAAAAGCAATATTATAGAAGGTCTTCTTGATGCATAAGCATTGTATGGAGTGGTCAGGTTACCGACTGCTCCTAGTACTGTAGCAAAATGACTAGTCCTTATTAGGGACTTCAAAAGGAATATTATTGTGGCGTATGTGCTGCTTCACGAGCAATTGGTCCGAGGTAAACTTGGACTCGCTAACCGATGTGTCCTAGACATATCATCTTAGTGCCGGTGGTAAGCGGGTTTGTTGTAGCAATACGGCTTTCCCGTGGACATCGCACACCCATACCGTTTGTGGGCGGCGTAGTAGCGCATAGCGATGCGTCGTCTATATTTCGGATTGGGATGATGAGTGAGTTTGGTAGCACTTTTAAGTGTAACAGGCATACTCAACTTCATGTCTTAGTGCATTAGCGCTATGATACGTAGAGTTTTGTTCATTGTCGTCTTAGTAGCGTGCTACACGAGTATGATACTTTGGTGATATTTTTTATATAACAACAATACAAACTTTGTTACCAAAGTCGATAGGGATCATGTGGGTGTGTTGTGAGGGGGCGCCACCCGTATGATAGTTGCATTGATGCTTACTGCTACTTGCGATATTGCGTCTTGTGATGGATCTGCGGGTGTGCTGCGCCTGATTCGACGCATTCCTGTGGTTCTGGTCGATGGAGGTAAACAAATAACATCTTAGTGCCGGTGGTAAGCGGGTTTGTTGTAGCAATACGGCTTTCCCGTGGACATCGCACACCCATACGTATGTGGGCGACGTCGTAGCGCATAGCGATGCGTCATCTATATTTCGGATTGGGATTATGAGTGTGTTTGGTAGCACTTTTAAGTGTAACAGGCATACTCAACTTAATGTCTTATTGCATTAGCGCTATGATACGTGGAGTTTTGTTCATTGGCGTCTTAGTAGCGTGCTACTATGATACGTTGGTGATAATTTTTATATAACAACAATACAAACTTTGTTACCAAAGTCGATAGGGATCATATGGGTGTGTTGTGAGGGGGCGCCATCCGTATGATAGTTGCATTGATGCTTGTTGCGTTCTGCAACATTGCGTCTCTGCGATGGTTGTTTGGTGGGACGCTATTCTCAATGGCGCTCTCTGCGTCTTGGTTGGACTCACACCTAAGTAGCTTTGCCCAAGTCAGGTCCCTTCATTACGGGGCTGCAGACTGTCTGCTCTCCATGATGTTTTATATAACAACTTAATAATGTATCTCTGTATCTTTCCCACCTTTAAATGATTGATGGCAACTTGTTGGTGGGTGAGACAAATATGATCGAAAATGCATTTACTCAACGTCAGTGACACAAAACCTTTCTGATGGCGAATTATTACTCTTATCTTATAACTGCCTTTTGGCTATATCTGCCGTTGTATTGGTTGGTAGAGCATATGTGTCGACCTCATGCGGGTGGTAGCTGGCGGGAGGATCTGAGGAGACTCTCAAGGCTGCGGCCGAAAGCCGCACAACGTGGGACCCCATTCCCTTGAGGTGAGCGGTAGACTCATGACACGCTCTGCGGCTAGTAGCCGTACTAATCATGCAATTGGTGGTGATGCCATACACTTACATCACGTCTGTAGGAGCGACGGTCTGGCAGGTGATGGCGCTCACGGAGGGTTTACGGCCAGTGTGCCTATTTGCCTAAACCGTGTGACGTACATTCACTGTGGCTGGATTCGTTCGTATTCTGTATGGCGTTTACACGCATTGACATGCGCGACTTCGGTCGATGTTTGTGCTTACGCACTAACAAGCGGCCAAGCCTCTTTTACTGGTTCGCCAGTTATTTTGCTGTGGACTACGGTCCAGTTCCCGAATTAGCGTTCCCTGCGGGGGAGTGCATCAAAATGGTTGGCGCTCACCGTGTACGGCGTGTGTGGAGCCGTGTGCCTCCCCTACATTTTTTAATAAATGTAGGAGAGCGAAGCCCTTATATCGGGTATTTTGTATAAATATATTTTGAGCCTTTTCCGAGCGGGAAGGGATAAATAATATAAAATTAATAATGTAAACCTGATACAAGTGGAATTGGGACGTTTTATGTCTTAACCTTTCTCGAGCCTTGTCTTCGTGAACGGGGTTCACTTAGCTTATAAGGCACTACCAACAGCTTTCAATTGCTCTAGCGAATATTCATTCTTCCAAAAGACACCTAAAAGAACTAACTTACTAAACAAATACAACGTAAATAAGGGTCCTAACCAAGTCGATCACGCCAAAATATTACAAACGGCCTATTATTAAACCTAGAAGATCATTTAGAAAGATCAAAACATATTTTATTAATCTTGGTCACAAAAATATATGTAATTATTATGTAAAGGGGAATATAATACATTTAATATTTAATATATATTTATTATTATGAGAGGGGGGAAGCGTTACAATATCAATGATATGTCACAAACTGATAACATTCATTGCTATGTAGACGACAGTACTGGTGATGCCTTATACACCGATCGTGCCAATATTTCTTAGAAAATCGTCGCCGAGAACCGGAACAAACTTGTGTCTGAAGTCGAGTCTTTGCTTAACAAAGTCTCGGATTGGGGACGACTAAATCTGGGCCAATTCAATACGCAAAAGACACGAGTTTGCGCGTTAACCGCTAAAACGAACCCCTTTGTCGAGTCTCCTCAGTTTGTCATCATCATTCATCATTACAGCCCTTCACAAGTCCACTGCTGAACATAGGCCTCCCCCAAGTAATGCCACAAAGCACGGTCCTGAGCCACCTGCATCCATCGACTTCCTGCATGTCTTACCAGGTCGTCACTCCATCTAGTGGGGGGTCGCCCTACACTACGCCTACCGGTACGAGGCTGCCACTCGAGAACCTTTCTTCCCCATCGGTTATCGGTTCTTCGAGCTATATGGCCGGCCCATTGCCACTTCAGCTTACTAATCCGTTGGGCTATGTCGGTCACTCTGGTTTTACTGCGGATATCCTCATTTCTGAGTCTATCACGCAGAGAAACTCCGAGCATAGCCCTCTCCATAGCTCGCTGAGCGACCTTAAGCGTCCTCATACGGCCAGCAGTGAAGGACCACGTCTCAGATCCGTAAGTCATCACTGGCAACACGCACTGGTTGTACAATCTAGTTTTTAGAGATTGAGGTATACCTGACGAAAAGATATGCCGTAATTTCCCGAACGCTGCCCAGCCGAGTTGAATCCGTCGATTGACCTCTCGGTCGAAGTTGGACTTACCTAGTCGGACTATTTGTCCCAGGTAAACGTATTCGTCAACAACTTCGAGCATAGTGCTCCCAACAACTACCGGCATAGGTGTGACATGGACATTGAACATGATCTTTGTTTTGTCCATGTTCATCTTAAGACCTATCCGTTGGGAGGCACTATTGAGGTCATTGAGCATAGTGCTTAAGTCCTCCAGCGATTCTGCCATAAGGACTATATCGTCGGCAAATCGAAGGTGAGTGATGTACTCGCCATTGATGTCAATACCGTATCCTTTCCAGTCCAGTAGCTTGAAAACGTCTTCCAATGCAGCGGTGAAGAGTTTCGGGGATATAACGTCACCCTGTCTTACACCTCTCTGCAGTTGGATAGGTTTCGAGCTCTGGTTCTGTACTCGGATAGCCATCGTAGCCCTACTGTACAAACACTTCAGCACTTCGATATACCGACAGTCAACTTGGCACCGCTGAAGGGACTGTAGCACCGCCCAAATTTCGACGGAATCAAAGGCTTTCTCATAGTCCACATACGCCAGGCAAAGTGGCAGATTGTACTCTTCAGTCTTCTGTACAATCTGCCGCAGGGTATGTATGTGGTCTATGGTACTGAAGCCTTTTCGGAAACCGGCTTGTTCGGGAGGCTGGAAGTCGTCAAGTCTGCGTGCGAGACGATTCGTAATGACTCTCGAAAACAGCACGTAGACGCGGCTCAGAAGGGAAATCGGTCTGTAGTTCTTTAAGAGAGCGTTGTCGCCTTTCTTAAAGAACAAGACCACCGCACTTCTGCTCCACGCCTCTGGAGTAGTGCCACCATGGAGGACGGAATTGAAGAGCTTCTGAAGGACTTCAAGTACCGGTGTTCCACCCGCTTTCAGAAGCTCCGCTGTAATTCCATCCTCGCCTGGGGCCCTGCCGTTTTTAAGGTGCTGGAGAGCCATTCTAATCTCGCTTAGACTGACGTCCGGGATATCATCGGAATAGTGTCGGATAAGACTTGCTCTTGGATCGTTACTCACACTTGCGTGTGGCTCCAACGATGATGTGTACAGCTGCCCATAGAACCTCTCAATCTCACTCAAAATCTCAGGTGTCCCGGAAACGATGTTGCCACACTCAGTCTTCAGCCTTGACAGTTGGCTCTTTCTGGCAGACAGATCTCTGGCAAAGACTTTGGAGCCCTGGTTCCGCTCGATCGCTTCTTTAATACGAGAAGTATTAAAGTTGCGTAAGTCTCGCCGTATGCATTTGGAGATCTGTCTGTTCAGTTGCCTGTATGCTGTCAAATCTGTTGACGATTGCAGCCTCATCTCCCGTCTAACAGCCATGAGATTAAGAGTGTGATCGGAGAGTTTTTGTGTTCTTCTGCGGCGGGTCTTACAGAACTTAGCTCCGACCGCATGGACAGTTTCCACGAGCTTGTCGTTCATATCGTCCACTGCATTGCAATCTTCTAGGCACTGGAAGCGGTTACGTAACTCGAGCTGAAAGGTTTCGGGATTCTGGATTAGAGCACGAGGGGGACGGAGCGTTGACTTCATTAGACGAGACCTCTCCAACTTAACGTTTAGGTTCAGTGTGCCTCTAACCATTCGGTGATCGCTGCCAGTTTTCACCCTTGCGATCACTGAGACATCACTGAACAGTTGGCGTCTGGTCGTCATAATGAAGTCAATCTCATTTTTTGTCGAACCGTCGGGGCTCGACCAGGTCCACTTCCTGTGGGGCCGCTTCTGGAAGAAAGAGTTCATCATAAAGAGTCCCTCTTTCTCCATAAAGTCGGCCAGCTGCTGGCCCCTTCGGTTCCGTTGCCCTACTCCAAATTTCCCTACCTTCAGCTCACCGCTTTCTCTTGTGCCCAGTTTTGCGTTGAAGTCTCCCATCAACACCGTGTAGTAGGTTCTGGAGGAATGTATGGCTCTGGAAATATCCTCATACATTTCCTCCACCTCCTCATCGGGATGTGCCGAGGTTGGTGCGTAAACCTGAATGACCTTCAGCGAATACCGTTTGGTGATTCTGAGTATCAGGTACGCGACCCTCGTCGACACACTCCCAATCTTTACAACGTTGTTGACGAGAGATTTGTGGACGATAAATCCGACACCTCCTTGGGACAGATGGTCGCCCTCCCGGTGATAGAACAAGTTGCCGGACTCGAGGATTGCCGTGTCCTCCCCCTCTCTTCGGACCTCGGATAATCCAATAATATGCCAGCGCAACTTGTTTACCTCTTCTTCCAGCTCCAGTATCTTCTCGTCAGTCCTCAGGGTGCGTGCGTTATATGTTGCCAGGTCGAGTCGTCGTAGGTGGCAACCGAACCTCCACCGGAGATTCTTAGCACCCCCTGCCCCGCCGTTACCATGGTCGCCACCGTAGCCAGGAATAGCGGGGCCGCCGGGGACTGGGGGCCGTCTGTTTGTGTATTTGTTCATTGGGGGGTATTTGCCATAGTTGCCACGCTTGGCGAGCGGGTTGGCAACCGCAGTTTTTTATTACGTCACAGTTGTCATCAGGAAGACGCTGCTGCCCATCTCCTGCCTGTCTCCCTCTGTCGCCTCTTACGACACCCACGGGAAGATATGGGGTAGTGGATATTCTTAACCGCCACTACACGGCATCAGAGAATAGAAAACATCGCGGCGCTTGCCTTCGCTCCCTTTTGTATTATGCCGACCGGAACCATGGCCACGCCTGTCCCCCCCCCACGCTACGCCACTGGTAGTAGCTATCACGCTTCTATTTGATGCTGGTAATCCGTGCGAGCTTGGTCTTTTTCTGATCGAGCCAACCCGTGAGACTCTGTGACAGCCACGATACATTTAGCAAGTAATAATATTTATATTAATATAATTAATTACCAAGCACTTACATAGTAAGACAGGTATCATGATGTAAGTATACATGAAGAAGACCACCACACTAATGCAGAACTTGAAATTCACAACAGGCGCGCTGCCATCGTTGCCCACAAGGAAAAAAATACTGCCTAGCAATACTGCGGATACTACGTGATGCGCCAATTGGATCCATAACGTTACCTGTAATATAAAAGAAAGCTGAATAAAGCCTACAATATATTAAGAATAATGATCTGTGGAAATAACATTTAGGTACTCTGTATTTTTACTGAACAGACCTTGCAGGTCTGTTCAGTAAAGGCTGTTTTCATACTGACTGATTTACAAAACCAGAAAATATTTTTAAATATTTCGAAGACATGTGAAGTCCACCACCACACATTGACGTTCCACGGCAGAAAATTCTCTGTCCTTCAGGAATGAGAGAAGATTTTGTGTTTTTCTCTGAGATTTTGTTTTTGCGAACCGGCTTAGATGTTGCGTTTAAATAGTTTTAAACAAGCCCTAAATTGAATAAAACCGGGGAAATGAGCCTATAATATTAGGTGACATAGATATAATAAAAAGTACTTAAGCATGATGAATACACCATTACAAACGTTAAGTATTATTAAAACCGCAATGCGGTCTATGGTTGCATATCTACATGTAGAAATAAAAAAACCTAATTTTCTCAGTAACCAGAACAACTTGGCTGGGTAGCGTTCGGGAGATAACGACGCATTTTCTCGTTACGTATTCTCAAAACCTTAAAACAAGACTGTACGACCAGTGTGTGTTATCAGTGATGATACATGGAATTGGGACGTTGTCCTTCACTGCTGGCTGTATGAGGAAACATAAGATCGCTCGTGGTGACCAGATGAGAGATACAGGAAGTCGATGGATGCAGGTGGTTGAGGACGTGTTTTGTAGTATTCCTTGGGGAAGGCCTATGTTCAGCAGTAGACTTGTGAAGGGCTGTAATGATGATGACTATGAAAAGAACTAAATGTATTAAATATACCTAAAGGAATTGATTTCAGTACAAGTTTTTATGTTAATACACTAACGGTCACATACGAGTAAAGAAAAATAAAAGTTTGTGAAAGATCTGATTCGGTTAGAGACCGAGATATTTGTTTACACTGAACTCAAGTGTGTATTGAAATCAATGAACAGTTTCTTTGTTTAGGAGAGAATTAGCCTTGTGATCAATGATATTTATATATAAAAAAGGTTATTAGCGTAACGTAACTAGCCAAAACTGAAGTGTCTGAATGTTCCTTAAAAAACTCTTTAAAATCTGTTTTATTCGATAAGAAAAAGTAGGCTACAGATCATATTTGACTTATAAACGTTTTGGTTTTACATCCCACTGTGGGGTACAACCCTTCTCTCATTTTTAGAGAGAGAAACTATGGAGTCATTAGGCCGCCGCGATGCTACAGTGCCTGTTGGCAGATTTTACGTATTAGAAGTTGGTTACATGCTCTAAGCTGCGAACTAATTATTGATTACATTATGATTTTTATCGTTATCTATAACATTCGGAATTTGTATAATTTATGTGTTCAAAGCAAGAGTGAATAGGACATTACTCACGAAGTCAATGCATCTAACCGTCTTGTTTAAGGTAAGGTAAGTGGTGAGTTACCATCAATCGGATGGAATAGTAGTCAAAAATAACAAATACAAAATAAGTTTTCATTTTTTTCATAATTGTAGATAGAATTTTCACATTTCTTGTTTGAAAAAAAAACACGTAGTTTCATCGTAGGATTCATCGTTCAATGTCATAATTAATCAACATTAGCTGTTTCGGAAATACTTTATCATTTGCTAATGCAGTTGTCCGTAACGAGTTTTAGTCGTATTAGTAATGAGAAATAGACATCGAGTATTACTATAAATTATTTCTAACTGAACTCGTTTAACCAATGTTTTGAGACATTTTAAGCAGTGTATATAATATTAAGTATTTCCCATGTATCTTAGAGTAATTATAATAAAAATTAAAAAAAGCTCATGAGTAAAGAATTAAATCTTCAACGAAACGGATTATAATCTTAAATACTTTACAAATTGAATATAAATTTGAATAAAAGACGAAAGCATCAAAATTCCTTACATTTAAGCCAGAGTTACTCATTTTAAAACAAAGTCAATAGTGACGTAGACGGTTAGAATGGAAAGTTAACAAAGAACATCTCATCAAGTATTAGGTCCTTACATATGAAATTAGCGTTTTGCCGTACTGACCACTTTGATCTGAAATATCTTTTCTTTGGTTAAGAATTCGAAATTAAAATTTATAAATTCATTTAGCTGGTACATTTGAGTTTTTAAAAAAAAAAAAAAAAACAGTCATTCATTTTTTTTCCTCATTATTTTTTCTTTGGCATGGCTTATTACCGCACAATGGATAACATGTAATATCGGTATATTTACGAGTACGAGTTCTACCGTGGCACCAGTGCTGCAGAAACAGCTCGAAGGATTAATGATGTGTACGGCGCTGGTGTCACAAAAAAGCACGATACGTTTTTGGTTTCAACGTTTTCGTTCTGGAAATTTTGACCTTCAGAACCAACCCCGTGGACGGCCGGAGACCAAAGTGGAAAATGGAGAATTAAAGGCTTTTGTGGAAGCGGATTCATCACAAAGCACTTTAGAGATAGCTGCAGGCTTTGGGGCAAGTGATAAAACTGAATTAATCCATTCAAATCCATGCAAGTTTTTATAATTAACCTATGCAAATCGGGAAAGTAAAAAAACTTGAACGATGGGTACCTCATGAATTGAGTGAATCGAACTTGCAAACACGCGTCGACTGCTGTTATACTTTGCTCAACCGACACAAAAATGAAGGGGTTTTAAATCGAATCATTACTTGTGATGAAAAGTGGATACTGTACGATAATCGGAAGTGCTCGTCGCAATGGCTGAACCCTGAAGACCCAGCCAAATCCTGCTCTAAACGAAAATTGACTCATAAAAAGTTACTTGTGAGAGTTTGGTGGACTAGCGCCAGTCTCGTTCACTACAGCTTTCTAAAATCTGGCCAAGCGATTACGGCAGATATCTATTGTCAGCAACTGCAAACCATGAGGCAATAACTAGTTGCTAAACAATCGTGATTGGTCAATCGCTCTAGGCCACTGCTGCTTCACGAAAACGCAAGACCACACACTGCACAACAAACAACCACTAAGTTAGATGAACTACAATTGGAATGTCTGCGACATCCACCGTATTCCCCGGACCTTGCTCCAACAGATTACCATTTTTCCGGAATTTGGACAACTTCTTACAAGGAAAAAAATTCAACTCCGATGCGGCAGTCCAAACCGCCTTCAAAGAGTTTATTGATTCTCCCCCCCATGGGTCTTTTTAGTAAAGAGATCAATGAACTACCTATGAGATGAAAAAAGTACATAAATAACATCGGTGCATACTTTGATTAATTAAATATATTTTACAAAAAAATTGACTTTATATTCCTTCCGTACAAAACGCCAACTTCATATGTAAGGACCTAATATTTAATCGACACTATAAAAATATTTGTACTGCAATTTTACTTTAAAATGAAAAAAGTAAAATAATAATTCTGTGACCTAGTGCTAAAAGGACCAAAGTACGTTTTTTAAGAAACGAGACTTTAAAGCCATATTATTGTTTGTGCTAAGAGGACGTACGTTTATTGATAAGCTTTCAGTAGATACTATGTAAAAAAGGCCATTGCAATGTGTACTTACATACTGTTTAATAAAATTAAATATGTGCTTCCGTACAGTACTGTACTGTTTAATAAAAAAGTTTTTTGGCCCTTTTAGTATCAGGGCACAGAATTAATAACATATGTATAAAACTTTACATTACCCTAAAATAGGTATTTATAATATCTTATGCTAGTAAGATAAATCAGTACACAAAATTTCAATTAAGTAACAATTTTATTAAGCCAATGTTCTTGTTATACAAGGTTGATGGTGGCCTTCTCCTCCTCTTTACCTTTGACTCTAGTCCCTGTCACCGATATGATTATTTTACATCATCATCAACCTGTAAAAGTCCACATCTGGACACAGGCCTCTTCGAATATAGAGAAGATTGAAGCTGAACGCAAATTTGTCAGCACCGTATGCGCTTAACGCACCATACGCTCCGCATTTGTTCTCTACACTCACTATAGAAAAACAGTAGTATTAAGCTGCTATTTTACGTATTATTGTAACGAGCTTGGGGATCGAGACAATAAAAACTGTCGAGTGAATTATCAAAATTGACACTTTAATTACAGAATACTAATTACAACTTAAAATCACACTAATAACAAAACACAATTTTACTACCAATCACTTTAGTTCGCAGTTGTATCGCTTCGAAGTATTCGCTTGGATTGCCAATTCAATATTCAACCGAATTCAATATTCGCGGTCTATACCGGCCTTTTATAGGACCTCAGATAGTTTCAGAACCTTCTTCTGTTCCAGAAATATTGACTAGATGTCGATAGTTCTAGAAAGTTCTTACATAGAAATTTCTAGAAGGATCTTGACTCTCCTAGTTCTGCTACTCGATACTAAAAGGCGCTAGTGGTAACTAGTGTCACCATGTACCAGGCATAAATTGTGGCGGCAACATTATGAAGGGGCTAGGGAACCACTGACCCCCCTTTTACAAGTAACCAAGCGTTGCAACTTAATCCTAGGGATGACAACGCGTTTGCGTTTTGATTCTTAATCGAGAATAGATGTCTTTGGAGCACAGCATCCCGCTTGCTATTATGTGATGATGATTTAATAACGATAGCGATGGTTGAAGTTTATATCATTATGAAAGTATAACGTATCGATTAAACATAATCAGCAAAATCATTATATTTTGCTGCTAATTTTCAAATCTTGCATTGCGTTGGCTATGCTAGAAGCTTGTCTATCTATATACTTTATAATGAGGATAGACTTTATAATGAGGATATCGACAGTAGAAACAAATAACGGAAATAGCTCAACGGATCAGATAGCTAACGTGGCAATGGACCGGCCACATCGGGAATCGATGGGGATGAAAACTTCTCAAGTGGTGGTACCGTTTAGGGAAATGTAGTGCGCCCCACAAGATAGAATGACAACCTGGTATGAGATGCAGGAAGTCGATGGACACAGGCGGCTTAGGATCGCATTTTGTGGAAAATCTGCTTTGTTAAAAGCTCTTGGGGATGACCTATGTTCAGCAGTGGACTTGAGTAATCTTGTTATGAAGGTGATGAATGATGTCATAGGTATTACAAATATACTCGAATTGATAAACTTCTCGTTTTCGCAATCGTTTAAAATATCTATTCATTTAATACACTATGTATGTTTAATAAACTCAATTCTGTTTAGAATTTTTAGTAACATGATGTTTTATTACATTGTTGCGGTGAATTGCGAGCAATATTTTTAAATTTACTTCTAAAATGAGAACGAGTGGGATTTTCTCCCTATAAAAATTGTCAGAACTTGTGAAATTGTTTTTATTTTAGTTTTATTAGTAAATTTATTAATCATTTTCAAAAAGGAAAGGAGATACAAAATTCGACTGTATTTTTTATGTGTGTAATCTCAGAACGTTTCTAGGTGAACAGATTTTAATTATTCCTTTTTATTTGAAAGCTGACATAAATATAGAACTACCTATGTATATTATATCTTAAAATTATAACAAATATATTTTTAACTTTTAAATGTAAATAGTCCAAAGCCAAATGCCCAAAATACTTTCGTATCTATTGAGAGGTTTTATTAAGCATAGTCTTTGCAATTATAAATTTGAAAATAGCTTGCACTATCATCCACACATTTTAATGGCAATAAATATTACTCACGGATACTTTTCATTACAGTCAGTTTAAAAAAATATAAGCTGACTTCAGTTATAATCAAATCTGATTAACATTTTAAAATTAAAAAAAAAATTGCCTTTCTTTCTTTTTTTCTTAAATCCGTTATTATTAAGAACAACGAAGTTAAAACGTGCACTATGAACTGTACGTTCAGAATTATTACGGTTTAGATAAAAACAATGTCATTTTGCAGCGTAACCATATACGGATTTGACCAATTTATTATTCAACACTTTCATTTTGCACAATTTTATAGAATGAAATCTACATAATAAACTTAAATAGTCCAGCCGACCATGCATACAGCCATATCTAGGACGCAGCTGATAACATCTTATAAAACGATGGTCTAGTTTTATGGATCAAGTATATTTTCGTCGAAATTTAGTAAAAATTTCGGCATGGAATAGGGTCCAATATTTGCGTTATACTTTTTTCATTTTTATTTTCAATCATCAATAAAAATAATATCAATAAAAATAGACGAAAAAAGTATTTATATCGGTAAAATAACTTCAGATATGTTACTAGATGGTAAAACTCTTTTCTGCCTAAGGTTTCGTCCGGGTTTGTATCATCACCCTTTTGCTTACTTCTGTCGCCAAATAGCAGTGTGTTTCTGTTTAAAGGAAGGATTTAACCAAAAAAAACACTGCGTTCAGTTGATGGACCAATAGAATTAGATATTTTTACCAACATAGGCTAAGTAGAGATCACCTCATTTTCAGGAGTTATTGTCATCTATATTTTCCTTAATTTTATAATAACCCCTTTAAGGTACTTGTTTATTAAAGTTTTCTGTAAACAGTAAATATTACAAAAATACTTCAGGAGTTATAGACTAATATAACAAGACATACCAGATACCAATAAGATGAACCAGCAAAAGTGGTGCCACTGTAAATGCTCAAGAAAAAGGAAATTCGTATTCTGCAACTCAACGCTTCAAACTTTTTAAAATAGAACCTCTAGTTACACTAACTAGAGAGTCAATATAATTACAGGCATTTCGTCTTCAACGGGGCGAAAACGCTTAATTGTTTGAAATTGATAGCAGGCATGAAGAGAGGCAGGAGAGAAGTAACAATCGAGTGCACAGTTCATCTGATAAATAGTAGTTACTGCAGCCCATGGACAATTGCAACCAGCTTCAAATAAAGAAGGCTACGAATGCGTTGTCACCTCTGAAGACTAAGATGGAATGACGTAATTATACTGGCTATCAATTCCCTTCAGATCGAAACATGGCAGTGCACGCACTGCTGTTTCACGTAAGAAATAGGTAAGAGCGTGGGGGTGGTAGAGCTACATTGCAGTTATAACGTAGTTGTAGCACGAATGGGTCGGCTCGACCGGGGCAGGACCGGGGCAGGACCGCGCTCACTCAGAATACCTGCGTAAAATAGCAGGTTAACTTTGCTGTGTTTCGTGTGCTGACCGTAGAGAACCAGACATCCTTTTTACTGGAAAGGAGGCATTCTTAACTGAGGCTGATTTACATTTAAGATGTCTATGGGTCACAGAATCCACTTATCATCGGGTGGGCTGTGTGCTCGTTCGTTACCCTTATTCTATAAAAAAGGACTCCCTGACAGAAAAAGAAAGACTTATCAAGACCGCTTATCATTACATCGTACTTTTTAATCTTGGTATAAAAGTAGGTATACCGAAAGATTTAAAAAGTTACGTATTAATATTTTGTAACACCTATAAAAGATTAATAAAGTTCGTATGTTACTTACCGAATTTCGTCGACTTTGCATAAACATACGTTTCGTCAATATTATGAATTGTGTTAGGAACGTTGTCGGGAATTCCATTTTCTGCAGTTGTTCTTTCGCGACATGTTCCACAAAGATTCTCTGAATTGACTCGTCTGAGTGTAAAACGGGCTTTCTGGAAATTGAAAACAAATTTTTAGCTGACGTTTAAAAGTAGGAAGTTTTCAATTCAAGTGGTATGTTTTTTAAGTAGGTATGACGCGATATTTTCGTCAATTGTGAAACCCATTTTGATGATTCTTGTTTGATTAAAAAGGAGTGGTCTCTTATATGATCCACCTGAAGATAAGTGGATGCTGTGGCCCATAGACATCTACATTTAACCTCGATTAAGAATCAACATGCAGATGCGTTGTCACCGGGGGTCTCCGGTTCTCTACACTCATCATATGAAGCACAGTAGCATTAAGCTGCTATTTTACGCTGGTATTCTGTGAGAGTGTGTTGTGTGAAGGACCACACCACAACTACAACCATAATAGTTGCAGCATGGCTCTACCACGTATAGAGAGTTATCTTTCTTTTACAACATATATTATTTTTATTATTAGGATAAATCAAGAAATTGAAGAACTTTATACGATTTGTACTTACAAATAATTATATTTTCAGAAAGAAATTTATTTTTCTAAGAGCCTTGTAGTGGCGGTTAAGAATATCCACTACCCCATATCTTTCCATGGTTGTCGTAAAAGGCGACAGAGGGAGACAGGCAGGAGATGGGCAGCAGCATCTTCCTGATAACAGCATCTGTGCAACAAAAAAATTGCGGTTGCTAACCCGCTCACTAAGCGTAGCAACAATGGCAATGTACTCCCATGATGAGAGTTACAAAGAGACAGCTTCTCGGCGACCCCGCTATTCCTGGCTGTGGTGGCGACCATGGTAACGGCGGGGCAAGGGGTGCTAAGAACCTCCGGTGGAGGTTTGTTTGCCACCGAAGACGAGAACTGACGAGAAGATACTGGAGCTGGAAGAAGACATAAACAAGTTGCGCTGGAATATTATAGAATTATCCGAGGTACCAAAGAGAGGGAGAGGACACGGTGATTCTCGAATTCGGCAACTTGGTCTGTCACCGGGGAAGCGACCAGCTGACCCAAGGAGATGTCGTATTTATCGTCCATAAGTCTCTCGTTAACAACGTTGTAAGAATTAAAGTATGTCGGCGAGGGTTGCGTACCTTATACTCGGAATCACCAAACGGTATTCACTGAAGGTCATACATATTTACGCACCAACCTCGGAACATCTCGATGAAGAGGTGGAGGAAATGTACGAGTATATTTTTACGGTCATGCATTCCTTCAAATCCCACTATACAGTTTTAAAGGGCGAATTCAACGCGAAACTAGGAACAAGAGAAATTGGTGAGCTGAAGGTAGGAAAATTTGAGATAGGATAACGAAACCGAAGGGGCCAGGAGCTGGCCGATTTCATGGAGAAAAAGTAACTTTTTATGATGAACTTTTTCTTCCAGAAGCAGCCCCACAGAAAGTGGACCTGTTCGAGTCCCGACGGTTCGACAAAAAATGAGACTGACTTCATTATGACGACTAGTTGGCAACTGTTCAGTGATATCTCAGTGATCGCAAGGGTGAAAACTGGCAGCAATCACCGAACAGTTAGAGATACTCATACACTGAACCTAAACGTTAAGTTGGAGAGGTCTCGTCTAATGAAATCAACGCCCCGTTCGACTCATGCTCTAATCCAAAGTCTTACTAGTTTTCAGTGCCTAGGATGTACTGCCGTGGATGATATGAATGGTAACCTCGTGGAAACTGTCCATGCGGTCGGAGCTAAGTTCTGCAAGACCCACCACAGAAGAACACAAAAACTCTCCGATCACACTATCAATCTCATGAATGTTAGGAGTTAAGCTGCACTCTTCAACAGATTTGACAGCATACAGGCAACTGAACAGACAGATCTACGCATGCATGCGGTGGGACTTACGCAACTTTAATAATGCTCGTATAAAAGGAGCGATTGAGCAAAATCAAGGCTCCAAAGTTTTTATCAGAGATCTGTCTGCTAGAAGAAAGAGTCAACTGTCAAAGCTGAAGACTGGGACACCTGAGATTTTGAGTGAGATTGAGAGGTTCTATAGGCAGCTGTACACATCATCGTTGGAGCCACACGCGAGTGTACTCACACTTACACACAACTCACAACGATCCAAAAGCAAATCTTATCCGATGAATTCCCGGACGTCAGTCTGAGCTGATTCTAGATAACAATGGCACTCTAACACCTTAAAAACGTCAAGGCCTCAGGCGAGGATGGTATTACAGAGGAACTTCTGAAAGCGGGTGGAAAACCGGTACTTAAAGTCCTTCAGAAGCTCTTTAATTCCATCTTCCACGGTGGAACTACTCCGAAGTCGTGGGACAGAAGTGCGGTGACCTTGTTCTTCAAGAAAGGCGACAACGCTCTTTTGAAGAATTACAGATCGATTTCCGACAGACAGATATTTTCGAGAGTCACTACGAATCGTCTCGCACGCAGACTAGACGACTTTCAGCCTCCCGAACAAGCCGGTTTCCGTAAAGGCTTCAATACCATAAACCACATATCTACCCTGCGGCAGATTATGCAGAAAACCGAGGAGTACAATTTGGCACTTTGCTTTGGCACCTTCCGTAGGTGGACTATGAGAAAGCCTTTAATACCGTCGAAACTTGGGCAGTGCTACAGTCGCTACCGCGGTGACAAATTGACTGTGTATCGAAGTGCTGAAGTGTTGTCACTGGTATGGTCGATGTCTAAAACTTGATATTTTTATGAACCAGGAAAATATTTAGTTTGTACATGGTACCCAAAAATGGTACGCATTACAAGAAATTGGTACGTCTAGCATCACTGATCCTCAGAGATAACAACGCATTTATGGCCTTCTTTGTTTGAAGTCAATTGCAAACATAGGCTAACAGTATCCGTCTGGTTGTTTTTAGTAATGATGATGATGGTGAAGAGTTTTTCTCCTATTATGTTTCTTAAAAATTAAAATCCTGTATATGCGGTGTAAGAATATCGTCAACCCCATACCGATCCGTTGGTTTACATTAGAAACGACAGAGCGAAACTAACCAGAAGATGGGGAGTAGCGTCTTCTTAGTTACAATAAATATCCCCCTAATACCTGGCAGATAAACCAATCTCATTAAATCCTGGCCATGTAATGTTGGAAGGGTGTCAGATGAAAAGGAGACGTGTTACTTAATGATAAACGTCTTCATACGTTTAAATATTTCCATTTAAAAAATACATATGATATAGTTCGGCCGTTCGGAGAATGCGTTCCTGACACGTCGCGATTGAACTGACGACGTAACTTTGTAATGGCATTGCAGTTACGATAAAAATATTTTTGCTGGTTGTTTACCGTTTTAACAATTGATGAGCATTAAAACAACATTATTATATCAATAATCAATGAATGTTTAAATTTGAGCCAAACTGAGTGCCAAATAACTTGGTAAATAATATTTTTCTAAATCTATACTGCGCTATTACAAGGTTATGTCAGAGCTTTATATTTGTAGTGCTGTGCTAACAATAACAGGCAATAACAGTATCGTAATCTGTTCTTATACAGTTATACTTTATAAAATAATACGTTTTGTTTTTCTCTTTAAGAATTTGAAAATAATGGACTATAAAATAACTTTTATTAAATATAAAAAAAAAACTACGACCAAACCGAACGCGCGAAAGAAAGTAGCATTTTTATATTTAGGTTGAAAATGGTAACCCCAAATGGTTTATAGTCGTCTGTTGTCGTTTCGTGCGCGTTCTTCAAGTGTTTTCGGATTCGAATTCGAATTCGAATTTTTGATTACCCGGCTTTCGTTTAATGGACTGTTTCCGCTTTTCAAACTGACATCGGCGCTAAATCGGACTTCGATTGTGTTTTGTATTGCGTTCCTTTTACTTTTGGTGCATAATAATGCCTAAACGTGGACAAACATTGAAAAGTGGAGCCCGTGAGTTAATCATCAAGCTGCAAGATTACTTTGAGCGGGAGCGGCAAAATGGCGGACCCCTGTTACCTGTCGAACAAGTACAAGTACGCGTCTCTCAGGCGCTTGGAGTTAGCAAACGAACAAATATTAATAAAGAAAAGTTCGGCTCTACTGTTATTAAGTCATTTAGTCACTTCAGTTTCTTAAATCATCTAGTCCGGACAAATAATCTTTTACTTTCATATTTTTTCACATTTCAAGGTATTAATTAATTCTTTTATAAACCTCATATATTTACTTCATTCTTAGTTAACCATTACTTATTTTCCATTTTAATCCATAGCATTTTGCTATTTATTAAATATTTGTCATTTCTCTCACGTACACGGCTAGCGTACATACATGATCAAGACAATGACCGATATCATTTCATTCCTGCCTTTTCATTTAACACCTTCCAACATTACATTACGTAATGAGATTTTTCATAGAATAAAGATGACACACTAGCACATAGCCTTTCCGATAGTGAGTAGATGTGAGAGTGTGTCTGTGGCTCACAGACATCTACATAGCTTCTCGGTTAAGAAATGCAGGAATGAATGCAGGATGCTTTGTCACCCTTAAAGACTAATGTGGATTGTCTGGGGTATCTAGACTCACTATACGGAACACAGCAGCATTAAGCTGCTATTTTACGCTCCCTTCCCCGGTCGTACCAATCCATTAATGCTACGACCATAAAAAAGGCTGTAATTGATGAATGAATGAATATTTTAAAATGTAATTATAAAGTTTGCGTCATTTGAAAAAAGAAACACAATCATAAATTCAAGCATGAATACAAACGCAGTGATTATATTCTGTTTGATAAATACAATTATTCCATTTTTAATGAATACGTGATGTAAATTTTGTTTAAGATATTACAAGACTATTTTACGCCACAGTATTTTGAATTACAACTTCAGGTTTCATTATAAAATGTGGAAAAGTATTTTCGCTCTATATTTTGAAGATAAAGCTTTCAGATGAAATTATATTTCGTGAAATATGACTTTTCGGCCCACCTTCCCTAATATTTAGGGCGCTGTTGTGAATTAAGGAAATAATACAACGAATGTTATACCTCTCATGAGCAACGTAATATTTTAAGTTTTTTCCTTTCGCCTTCTAAGAAAACACTTTGATTTATTTTCTTTTTTACTAAGTACGCATTTTGGGATATAATTCCTCATTACAAATAATATATTCACTGATATAGCAGTATTTAATATTACCCAGAAGTTTAAAAATACAAATAACAACGGTAATAATAACGTAAGTCCCTAAATTAAAAAAAAAGAATAAAAAAATATAACAAGGGTAGCAAATTTGGTATTACGAGTTGTTTTTACATCAGAATTATTTTCTTAATAAGGATAAACAGTAAACTATTTGATGTGGACTCCTCTTTCCCCATAGAAGGGTAGAATATCCGATATGTTAGCCATATCTTTCTGGCATTTTCCATAGAGGTATCTTATGATAACCACGAGGCGAAATGAGGCAATGGTGTTGGTCTCCCCATAGTACACGACCTACGAGCACTTAGTAGTACACGAGACTATTTCAGTTATACGACAGTCAACACTTCAATTTAATTTTGAACTAATATTTATTTCTTAAATTATCTGAAGTCATAATTTAATCATAAAATGGTTTTAATTGCTATAAACTCACCTCCCTCCTCTAAGTGTCATCCTGTCTAACTTTCGGCAGAGTTTTCCATTTTGGCACAGCTCCGACATCTGAGCGGACGCCTCGGGGTCGGTGGCGAGAGTTTCTATCACGAAGTCAGCGGGATTGTGCGTTGATGGACATATGTGGCCAATTTCTGCCAGAAACGGAATGAGCAGGGGAGCTGCGCCCTATTCAGTTTAATTATATTGGGTAAAATATACAATAACACATAAAAATTAATTATGAATTAGGTACAGTTGAAATGAAGTCAATTATTATTTATTGAGCTTATGTAAACTACATTGGGTGGAATGGTCTAAGACCACAAGTAAATGTAGATTAATATTATCATATATAATAACAATAATCATCATTATCATCATTACAGCCCTTCACCAGTTCACTTTTGAACACAGGCTTCCCCCAAGGAATGCCGCAAAGCACGGTCCTGAGCGATCAGTATTTACCTACCTTCTGCATTCTATTTAGTAAAATCTAATATATAAAAACGTATTTTTGTTTGTTTGTATTTTATGCGCTGCTATACTGTTTATCAGTTTGCGCTAAAACTTTGTCAACTTATTACTGGTACCTTGCGCGAAGGTTATAGACATAGCATGTAGTGTAGACATAGCATGTAGTGTAGACATAGCATGTAGGTGACCCGCGTATCATACCGACAAATTTATATGAAAGTTATATATCATTAAATTTAAAAAATGTAGATATTATATTTCCTATTTAAACAATATAACGATATTTACACAATTGTTTCTTCTGCGGCAGCAATACGCCGGGTACAAGCTAGTAAATAAATAAAATAAAGTCATAAATCATAATATATGCAATATTAATAAATGTATATAAGTTGGTTTAAAATGAGAACTACGAGTATACTTATGGAAATTGTCCATTAACTAGTCAGTTGTCAATAGCACCTTGGCTTACTTATTCTTATTCGTTCGAAGAATGTCGGTGTCATTCTCATGGACGTTACATCTTGTTTTTGTGCAGGAAAATTATAGTGTGACCGTGAGAATGAAATGATGATAAAGCTATATACATATCAAAGCAACTAGTATATTATACCATATTTAAGGTTTCTGTTGGTGACCGTTGTATTAAGGAATTTTTACGCACATATTTGCATGTATTTTTAATATACGTAAATAGTACTCCCTTAAGTATATATATTTGAAGATTATATATATATATATATAAAAAAAAAAAATAATATAACCCTTAAAGACAGCTGTGATAATTCAGGGACTAATCGTTCGCTGTAAATTTCACAGTACGCGAGCAACCCGGGTTTGATTCTGCCGGCACAAATAATATGGCACAAATAAAGTTAAAAAGATAAAGTTACGGCCTACATACGTTCCATTGCTGGAGGCAGGCCTCTCCTCTCATTTCTGAGTGGGTTTTAGGGCAAGGAAGTGCCCTCCGCGCTGACCCCATGCGTCTTGGCGAACTTCACATGCCTTCGAATTTTTTTTTCTTATTTCTCATAGCCGTGATAGCTCAGATGGTTTGGATATTTCTTTGCCCTAAAACCTTCTCAGAAATTAGGGGATCATTGTGCCAAGCTGTGTGACGTATAAGTATATAGCCTGTAACTAACTTAACCATCAAAGGACGAACACGTTTACTGTGTAGAAAAACGTTTACAACACGTTGCGGTTTCTTAAAATCATTAATAAGCGATATTTGTGTTCATTCTAAACATTACTGATGTAACCACAATGAATAGTATTATGCGAATAAATTATGTGGTTTGTAACTTTAAAATAAGGCTTCTATCCTATGGAACAATATTTCAAGATTTGCTATGTATAAAATTTAAAAATACTGGATGACCCTTTTTACCGTTTGGAAAAAATAGGGTGTAACCTGTGAACGGAGTAGAAGCCTATGACACTGATATTTTATGAAAAAGAAATCAAAAGTTTTGAATTAAGCGTTTGAAATTTTTCTATTTAACAATTACTTTGCCTTTTGCTCTTGAGCCTGTGACCCTGCGAAGTGACTAGGTCAGGGATGCGTACTAAATTTATTGTTTTATTTCCGTTCGTGAAGTATAAGCAATAATGTTGGATATGATTTGAATTTCGATAGATTTTAATTCATTAATTAATTTAATTCAAAATATTTGTTTTTATTTTATGTAAAATATCAGTCTTCTACTCCGTTCACATGTCACACCCTATTTTTTCCAGACGGTAAAAAAGTCGTCCAGTATATATTAGGTATGCGTGAAGAAAAGAAAAAGGTTATTGATGTTTTTTGCTCGATGACTTTTTTCGTTCTTCGAGTTTACATTAGGCATATTTGTGTATATCAATCAATGACTTATATTTCAAATTCGGAATTATTTCCTTTTATATTTAGGATCTATTATATTATGAATATATTTTATAAAATATAATCATAGAATAAAATACAACATAAACAAATTAAAAACTACAGTTGAACAAATAAAATAGGTCGGCTGTTTCGCTTTTATAACGTTTTGCATTTTTTTAATGTGGTAGAGCCACGCTGCAGCTATATTACGGTTGTAGCACGAATGGGTCGGCTCGACCGGGGTAGGACCACACTCTCTGTTAGAGCCAGCAGGATGCCAGCGTAAAATAACAGCTTAATACTGCTGTGTTTCGTATAGTGAGTGTAGAGAACCGGAGACCCTTTATACTGGAAACAAGGAATTCTATCTTATTCCTCAGGGGTGACAAACTGGCAACGCATCTGCATTTTGATGCTTAAATGAGGATATAATATATCTGTGGGCCACAGCATCCACTTACTTATTTCGAAACAATCACCACATCAGGTGGCCTATGAGCTCGTTTGTCATCCTTAAACTATAAAAAAACATTCACCCAGTTTATAATTTATTTGACATGTAACATTAATCTGATTGAAAAATAACCTCTTAGCTCAGAACAATATCTAAATTACTATTGTTTATTGCTTTTAGTTACCTCTTATATGTTGAAATAACTTTTTTTACAGTGCTTTTTACTATCTTTCCTAATGTTATTCTTGATGTAGCCGAAGAAAAAGTAAAGCCCATTGACTTTGCTAGACAGAGGCCTATTTAATCTTGTTTTGATGACACCCTTATTGTTATCGCAAAGAAATAAAGAAAGATAGACACTGGCAAATTGTGTGCAATAAAATTGTTATAATAACCGTATTGCCGGTGACAATCTACTGAGCGCAAACACAATACGACCATTGAGAGCATTAGTCATATAACCAAGGCTCATAAAGTGGGCGATAGTCTAAGTTACTCTGGGTGTTATAATCCACAACATGTAAATGTGAATTTGCACATTGAAGAAAATTAGAGTCACTAATATAGTTTTAAGTATTTTGAGTAGCTGTTTTACGTTTTATAGGATAAGGGTGACAAACGAGCACACAGTCCACCTGATGGTAAGTGGATGCTGTGGCCTATAAACATCTACAGTTAACCTCGCTTAAGAATCAAAATGCAGATGCGTTATCACCGTTCAAGACTAAGATGGAATGTCTCGATTCCAGTAAAAGGGGTCTCCGGTTCTCTTCACCCACCATATGAAACACGGCAGCATTAAACTACTATTTTACGCTGTTATTCTGTGAGAGCGTGGTCCTTCGCCGGTCGAGCCGACATATTCATGCTAGGTACAATCATAATAGCTGCAGTGTGACTCTACCATGTAAAGAGCTGTGTTAAGTCAACAACTACTTTGTAGGACAATTGGGATGACTTGAGATTGATTTGTGTCGATTGATTTTGTTGGCAAATGATTGTATAAATAGATATCTTAAGTGGGGTTATGATAGACATTTATGGTGAAAAGATGAACATTAATATTATATTAACGTAAAATAGAACGACACGAAAAACGCCAACTATGAAAGGATAATACGCAGGCGTATTTATCTCTGGCCAATACAATTACCTACCTGACAAAATTTATGACGTAATTAAATTGGAGTTCAAAGATAGTAGGCTAGTTATGTGGGTTATATACAGGCACGGAAACTTGGCCAAGCGGTTATCTCGCGATAGCAAAAGCTTTAAGTGTTTCTGATGAATGTTTGTTATGCAAGTATGTCAAAAAATGTTTACCCTCAAGTTCAAGAGGGTAATTCATTATGTTTAAGTGCACCACGACGAATTCTTTAATTTTTAGTTGAATCGGGTCATTTGAGCGACTAAGTTCACATTTTAAATTTGTGTGTTGTGAAAAGTTTACTGTAAGGTTATTTAATTATTGTGATCTTGTGTCTTAATTAAATAACTAAAGGTGCTTTAAAGCCAATAAAAATGCCATTAACACCAGCACAAGTTGCACAAGCAGTAGCATTAATTGACCAAGGGCTGACACAGCGTGAAGTTGCTATTGTGCTTAACGTACCACGGTCTTTAATGCAGTATTCACTGAAACGATACCAGGAGACAGGCCGCTACACCCGCAGGCCAGGCAGTGGGGGCGTAAGGTGCACATCGGCCCGGGACGATCGTTTTATTGTTATGGAGATTTTGAGAAACCGCTACCTGACCGCTGTTGAGATACGCAAGCGGCTCCAAATCGCAAGAGGCGTTAATGTTAGTGAGTGTACGGTGAGAAGACGAATGGAGGAAGTGAATTTAAAAGCTCGTAGACCAGCACGAGGTCCAGAACTTCTCAGACAGCACCGAGTAGCCCGACTTCAGTTCGCAAGAGAACATGTCAATTGGACCCACGAGCAATGGGCTAGAGTGTTGTTCACAGATGAGTGTCGAATAGCTTTACGTGCTCCAGACGGTCGAGAACGAGTGTGGAGAAAAAGAGGAGAGAGGTTTCTACCCATTACCACCACCCAAACTGTGAGTTTCCATGGAGGCTCAATAATGGTATGGGGAGGTGTAAGTTCCGACGCACGTACAGAGTTGGTCATCGTCGATAATCGGCTTACAGCTACTCGATACATCGAGGAAGTTCTTCAGGAGCACGTAATGCCTTATTCGGGATTCATTGGACACGACCACTTCCTCCTCATGCACGATAATGCACGCCCGCACGTCGCACATTGTGTAGAGGAATATCTGGAAGAGGTTGGAATACAAAAATTACAGTGGCCAGCTCGTAGCCCGGACTTAAATCCAATTGAGCATGTATGGGGTATGCTCAAAAGAAAGATAAAGTCCAGCTCCAAACCGCCACAAACTCTAAATGAGCTCCGAAATGCAGCGCTGGCCGCTTGGGACAGCATACCGCAAGTTGATGTCAGAAACATCATTCAAAGCATGCCAGATCGAATGCAAGCGGTTATCAGGGCTAGAGGAGGAAACACCCGATATTAAAACTGATAGACAATAAAGAAACAGACTTAATTTTTAACTTTGTAGTGTTTTTAAAGTGACAATGGAAAGATGTTAATTTTAGTGAAAACATGTTATCTTGAAAAGAAAAATTTCGGTGAAGTAAACATTAAATTTCTATGTTCTAAAACCATTAGAGACACTTATTGAATGCATCTACCCTTAATTTACTGTTAAAAAAACGTTTCAGTGCAAATAATCAGCAAATTCACGAGTGGCCAAGTTTCCGTGCCGGTGAGTGTAGTTTTTACAATACTATACAGCTTATTATACAATTACATGGTACTGTAAGACTTAAATAAAACATTTTCTTTGATGGTATTGATGAAATACCATGTTCTGAATTGATGAATACTCATTTTGCTTTAGAATTATTATTTTTATCATGCTGTGCCTACGTATCTTTTGTGTAACAAAATAAATAAATAAATACTTAGGTATAAAAGAGTAAAATGGATTCTGTCATGGACTGTTAAGATTCGGAATGACTTAAATTATCAGACAGAGGACTGATGGACAGATCACAGAATGAAATATTTAAATGAATATAAATAAACGAATGGATTCGAATTTACCTGGTAGCAACACATGCCCCTTGAAACAATGTACACACGGTCGAACAGAGAGAACAGCGATGCAGAAGGCTGATGAATGGTGCAGATGATGGTCCGTCCCTGACGTGACAGCAAACGGAGAAGCACCACCAGTTGTCTGATGGACACGACGTCCAACCCGCTGAAAAATTTGTTTCCTTTAATTGTGATAGCGATCATAAGTTTGCAATTAAGACTATGCTGACTGAACTAAGTCAGTTAGACGAACGGGAGAATACAATGTAACTACCCTCATCCCTTTTCAGATATCGCTTTAGAACCGTACATAACTCTGATGCGTTTGGGGTCAACTATTTGTGACGTCACGTTCGACTGTTGCCCAATTAGCTTGGTTGACGTTCTTCTCAATTGGCAGAGTATGTAAAATATGATTGTGAATAAATACAAAGACACTCTCTTCTCTTCTAATCATACTGAAGTATGTTTAAGATTTGTTTCATGGAGTATCAGTTTTATTTAGAAAACAAACTGTTCATTCTAGAATTGGAAAAGTTATTACGTAGGTATATGGAATCTAATGTAATTTGTCCATTTTAGAATTCGAGAAGGTATTACGTAAGTATATGGCTACTAATATAATTACAATGGCAGCTTCTATAATGTATTCTAACGCTATTTTATACATCGAGGATAACAAAATGAGCACACAGTCCATTTGATGGAAAGTGGATGCTATGACCCACATATACTTACATCTACCCTCGATAAGGAATCAAAATGCAGATGCGTTGTCACCTCTGAGGACTAAGGTGGGTTAAGTAAAAACGTTCTCCGGTTCTCTACACTTTACACTCGCCACACGAAACACAGCAGCATTACGCTGCTATTTTAAGCTAGTATTATGTGAGAGCGTTGTAATTCCCGGGTTGTGCAGCAATCATAATATAGATGCAACGTGACGCTACTACGTTAAAACTGTGCTCATTATAGCAAAATTCTTTCACCTAAGTTCTATCTGAACATATGTAGCGAGGTATTGGATACTTGGCGCTGAAAACAACTCAAATATACTCGTTGCGTCAGACAGGAACCAGGATATGAATCAGTAGTTATTACAGTCTTAGTAAGTTACTATAGGGAGAGACCCCCGACCCGTGACCATGGGAGCGGGAAAGCACCTGAAACGTCGGGAATTAACAATTAAGTAAATTAAACGAGATAAAATCCGTAAAAGTAGTGTAGTGTTCGGTGTAAATATAACAAATCATAAGTTATTATAGTTATAGTAAGGTCACTAAATTGAGAGCATTAAGATTTATATAATTAGCGGTGAAATTTAACCTAGTTTTATAATTGTGTTAAAATTATATTATTATTATAAAATTATCTTATGTACTTGCCGAATATAGACCTAGAACTAAGAATTAGGGGAAGGCACTGTTTCCTGAGATACAGGTGATAACCTAGTTCAGGAGACAGAGCTCCTTTGTATTTAGACATATTTGGTTGCTAATAAACGTTATTTATTATTATTATTGTGGGGTATCTATATAGTTTTCTCATCTGGTTGGGTTCTATAAATATATAATTATAAATGAAAATGAAAAGATAAATATACATAAATATCAATAACATAAAATAAATATAAAAATACATAAATAAATAAAAGCCCAACCAGATGGAGGCCCTCGGCAGGGGGAGACCAAACGGCCGAGGGTTAGGGGGAAAGGGAAAGAAACCGGCGGACGATGCGGGCGGTATCGAGGAGCACCGCCTTCTGCATTTGAGCCCGGAGCGGTCCGCCACGTAGTCCCAGTCGCCTCAGATGACCCGAGAGGCTGACTGGGATTAGCCCGTTTGCAGAGATGACTACAGGAATAATTTCGGTCGGCAGACCACCTCACATGTCGGTCACCTCGTGAGCCAGGTCCAGATAATTTGTTTGCTTGTCTGTTTCGGCTTTCACGAGGTTCTCGTCATACGGAATGGTAATGTCGACCAAAAATATCCTTGACTGTGCCCGGTCCATCAGCACAATATCAGGCTTATTCGCAAGAATAGTCCTGTCTGTGATGATGGCCCGGTCCCAATAGAGCCTGGCGCGATCATTTTCGAGCACGGCTTCCGGCAAGTACTTGTAATACGGCAATTTCCGATCCACGAGACCGTATTTCAGAGCGAGCTTCTGGTGAAGAAATCTTGTGCCTGTGCAAGTACTCAGAGTTAGAAAGCGCCGAACAACCGGAGATGACATGCCTAAGTGACTCACCGGGATGGCGACAAGCTCGACAGACGTCGATGGTGCCATCCTTTAGGATGTATCTCCGATAGTTGTTGGTCTTAATAACCTGATCCTGTATTGCACAGACAAAACCCTCGGTTTCCCCGAAGAGGTCACCAAAGCGTAGCCAGTGGAGGGAGGTTACTGTGTCTACGAAAGGCTCATGTAGAGCCCTGTAGTACCTCCCGTGGAGCTCCTTCTCCTTCCATACGGTCTCCCGGTCGGAAATGCTAAGCACTGCTGGGTCCTGCCATTGCTCGTTGGCTAAGGATAGAGGGGTAAGCCCTTTATCACTAGAAATGACGTCATTATAGAATGGATCATCCGATCTCGCCAGGAAGTAATCACGGAGGCTGCACACTTCGCGATTATGCATGGTGAGCGCGCTCACAAAACCACGTCCACCATGCTTTCGCGGCAAGTACGGCCTCATTACCGACGATCTCGGATGATGCGTCCTATGGGACGTCATGGTAGTGCGGACTTTTCTATCCAGGGCGTTAAGTTCAGTCTGGGTCCACCTGAGTATGCCAAAGGTATACATGAGGACAGGCATGACCCAACCATTATATGCGTGTGTCTTATTCACACCGGACAAAAGGCTGTTAAGCACTTTGGTCAAGCGTGCATAAAACACGTCGCAAACTGACTGTTTCATACCAGCCTCATCGATACCATGTTCTGTGACATACCCAGGTATCGGTATGTTTCAGCCTCGGAAAGGGTCCTTAAGTTAACGGGCATAGATAAGTCTATGCCCTCAGAGTTAGCAACCCATCGCCTTTCAACATGGAGGACCGCACACTTATCCATTCCCAGCTCCATTCTAATAGAACTGCTAAATTCACAAGTGATGTTTAGCAATTCCATAAGATGGGAGCGACTGGAGGCGAATAACTTGAGGTCATCCATATAGAAAAGGTGGGTCAGTTTTGTCCCTCCTTTCTGAAGCTGAAATCCCCTCCCGGAGCCCTCTAGTAAAGTACTGAGAGGGTTCAGGGAGAGGCAAAACCAGGTTGGACTCAGACAATCGCCCTGGAAGATACCCCTCCTTATCCTTATGTGGTTCTCCGCAGCCATCATCCGCTCGCCCAGATAGCAAAGGATCGTACTCCATTGCCCCATACACTGCTCGAGGAAGTCTCCAACTGTACAGTCAATTTTGTATAGCTGGAGGACTCTCTTTAGCCATGTATGGGGCACCGAGTCGAATGCCTTTCTGTAGTCTATCCCGGCGGCGGAGAAATTCCGACGGTTGCGTTTCACCACTTTGCCAATGACCGCGTCAATGAGGAGTGGTTCCTTGGTTCCACGACCACCGCCCCGGCATCCATTTTGAGCGCGTGACATCACCTGATTTAGCTCCAGGTGAAGAGTGATTCTCGCGCTCAAAATGGATGTCAGTGTCTTATATATGGTGGGTAGACACGTGATGGGCGGTATTTGCTCGGGTCTGTGGTATACTGATATTTAGGAACCAAATGAGTGATCCCAGTAGTGAAAAGGCTCGGGAGCGACTTCTGATCGAGAGCCTCTTGAAACTGTCGGGCGAGCACAGCGTGACACACTACGAACCCCTTCAGCCAGTAATGATGCAGCCCGTCGAGCCCCGGACTTTTCCAGTTCGGGGCCCTACGGACCGCCTCAGCCACGTCTTCAGGCGTTATGGTGACGGGGTCCATAGGCGTAACACTTGCACTTTGGCTCGCCACAACTTCCATCCAAGGGCCCTCGCTGTGGTTTACGGGCTCTGACCACAGGCCACGCCAAAATGCGACAGTGTCGGCCTGATCCGGTCCTGGGCCCGCTCCACATACCTCTGGTCGCTCCAATGATTTATAGAGCCTCTTCTGATCACTCTGGAAGAGACGATTCTGGTTGAACCGCCTTGACCTCGCGCTAAATCGTCGAATCCGCTTCTCCCAAGCAGCGATTTTTTGCTTCAGGTCATCTATGCGCTCCGTTAGTTTTTGCGTGATATCCGGTTGGAACAAACTGATATTTGTCCCAGCAAACGCCATCCCAACGGTGCGCATAATCCTCGGTCTATTATTACCCGACCTGAAGCTTGTCAGTCTGCCGATAAGGGCCCTTGCCTTTGCGATACGGTCCTCAATTCTTTTTCTCCAGGCTGGGATGGCGCTACTTTTTTGAGTAGCACGTCCAGCCACGGGAAGTTTGGCGCCAATAATACGGCATACTGCCAGTGCGGCGCCAAAAAGAATTGAATCCGTCTCGCAAGGTCCCGGCTGGCTTCCAAATAGGTCACCAGCATTGGGTTAAGGGCCCGCACGACAGCCCGATTTCGCTTGCTAAGGGGTATGCGGGGAAGTCGCGGTCGATTTTCGAGAGGCATGCTGCGCGTTTCCAGCATCGACTCTTCCAATATGCTCCTCATTTTCTCTAGTTCGTGGAAGACTATTCCATCAACGTCTGAATTAGCCACAAATGGAATGTTGACGGCAGCATCCACATATGCAGTTTGTTGCGCATCTAGTGGCGCCGCATTCCCAGCCGTAGCATTTCCATTCGATGAAGGAATAGCCTCACGTCGTAGTCGCTCGAGTTCGGCGTCACCAAATATGTTGGAGCGCAGGATGTACCTAACTCGGTCTGCCAGGTTTTGCTCAGTGACGGATAGAGATGGCTCCAGCTCTGCAAAAAAATATTATAATTATTATTAACATGTCGTCGGCAAGTGAATACTGTCCTGCATGTTTGCGGAGACAATTGCGGTACTATTATAAATGTTTACAATAGCTCGCAATTGCCTACATTGAGGCAACCACAATCGTACCCATTCCGACGACAAGACAACTAGTGCACAGACTGAAATACATTTGCTACGAGTAGTGCTCACCGGAAGAGAACCGGGATTAGGGTAGTTAATGGCATCGTCG